GAGATCTACATCGTCAATCGTACTAACCCGGAACTGGATGCGGCAGCAGACCCCACTGCGACGCACCGTTCTGGTGGGGTTCCTGAGGCTTTGGAGGAGTAGGAATATTTAGATGCACTAGATTTTGTCGGTCTCCCGCAGCAGTCTAGGATTGCGACGGCTGTCTCTGCTGCCCCCCGCCTTCTCCTACCCCCCTTAACAGACGCTACTAGAGAGCGCATCGCGCGAAATCGTCTGGTTGGCAAGGAGCGCAAAACTACGACGACTGCTGCGGACAGACTTAGGCGCCGGACAGAGGTGACCCCCTGGACGGTCGAGCCTGAGCTCGGTGCAGGAACACAGTGGAGGCCAGTCCACAAGAAACCCAACCCCGAGACCCCCATGAAGTCCACCGATTCTTGGTGTGGGAGCGTCACGCCTTCCTCAGCAAAACCATGGACACCCAGGAAACCCAGGGGCACCCTGGAGGCGAGCAGGGTGTCTCTTGGCATGAGTCTCCACTGTAGGTCATCTCACTTCGCGCGTCGCGCGCCGCCGTGCGCGACATGCCGAGCCAGATTCATCTTCGTGCCCCCGCGGCTGACACAGATAGAGGAGGAGGAGGAGGAGGAGGAGCAGGAGGAGGAGGAGGAGGAGGAGGAGGAGGAGGAGGAGGAGGAGGAGGCGAGCAGGGTGTCTCTTGGCATGGGCCTCCACCGCAAGCCCTAAGTCCGAGCGAGCAGGTTACCCGGCACTGCGGCCGCCGCCGCCGCCGCCGCCGACCCCTGGACAGAGGCGCCGCCCCCAGGTCGCCTTCTCCAAGGATGCCTCCGCCTCTCCTTAGACGAGCGTGTTCCGCTGCTCGCAGAGTAGCTGCTCGCAAATGGCCTGGATCCATCGCGTGGGATCTACGGTCCATTACGCAAGAGGAAGGCATGTCTTTGTTCGGACGTTTGCGAGTCGGCACTTTGCGAGCAGCGGAGCGCGCTCGGCGACCCTCTCCTCGTGGGCCCACGTGAGCCCCGCCGGGGCCAATGGTGCACGAGAGGCGCTCCACACGTGCGAGCCGCCCCCCCGCCCGCGCCCCCCGCCAGCCCGCGCCCACCGCCAGCCTGGCGCCAGAGAGCGAGACGCTGGCCACCCCTCCGCCTGGCGGCATGTGCGACACCGCTTCCTCCCTCCCATCCCTCTCGCCTTCTCTGTGGATGCCCCCCCTCCTCCCAGGCCCACGTGAGCCTAGCCGAGGCTTACGGTGACCCCGAGGCGCGCCGCACGTGCGAAGCCCTCTCGGGGCCCCTCTCCGCGCCCACACTGGCTAGGCTCGAGCGAGCAGATTGCTCGCCCCGCCTCCGCCAGCGTGCCTGCGGCTGCTCTGCGTTCTCTCCGCCCTGTTGGCCGCCAGGAACGGTGCGCATCTCGGACTGTGGCCTGGCGGGGCGATGTGGCGGAGGGGGGGCGCGGCTCCGTGCGGAGGCGCCCCGCCTGTGGGCTCCAGTGGGTGGGGCGCCCATCGCGGTCCGCGGGGTGGCCGTTCCCTTCAGGTGGGCGCTGGAACTGCGGGCCGCGGGCCCACGGACATCTATCGCCCTGCCAATGCCAGCCAGGCTCCGGTGACAAATTGCACAGGTATGCAGCGGACGTTCAACGGGGCACCAGTTTGTGTCATTCTGCTCGTGGGAGGCAGCTGTGAGACGGTCTGGCAGTATGGTTCAGGTTGCCTCGTCGCACGCAGCCATGTGGCCCCGTGCCTAGCTAGATCCAGCAACAAGCGCTCTCCGTCGGCGCCACAATCCAAGCGGGATCGGTGCCGCATCGCTCGCAAGACACAACAGCTCGGTCCTACCGCTTCCTGAGAATGCTGATAGCCGATGCTTGTCCACCGTCGTCTCCTTTCGTGCCGTGGCAAGGGTGAAGATAACTTGCCTGCTCATACACTCAACAGGTTACCCAACCACACTTAAGCTCCCTGCCAGCTGCGTCCGCCCGCTGGGGAGAAGCCAATGCGTACGGGCCATCACGACTGCTACCGCTGCCTCCCTTGCTGTCTGCCAGCCTCTTGCCAGGCATATTTACGGTTGTGCCTCATGATAACCCAGCTCCCTCAGGCTCAATTGTTGCCTCTAAGGTAACTGTATCCTGGTATGCAATGCCTTGCTATGTAAGGCGGTCTGCCAGTGTGCATGGCCATGCAGGTCTGACAGCGGGTTTGGTTGAACCCAACCCCCCACAAGATGAGGTAGAGACAACTGTATAGACAGCCAGATGGTGTCCATGGTCAAGGTTGCTTGCTGGCGGCCTCGTCGCATGCAGCCCTGTGGCCCCGTGCCCGTCAAGACCCAGCGGACGTCCGCCGTCGGTGCTACAGTCCAACAGGACTGGTGCCGCACCGTTTGATCTGCAAGGGCTCGCCTTCCTCTCCCCGCAGTGCGCAAATGACCGCCGATGTCTGCTGCCTTAATACTTTCCGTGCCAGGGGGAGGAACTACTTGCCCAGTGAAATATTCCATTGGCAGGCGCACCATGCTGGCTTCCTGCACAGCGTCGCGACATGACAACTTGTCTACCTCAGCCCAGTCTTGGCTTGCACGCCAGGCCAAACACCGAGAACCGCGGTGACCCTTCCCGCCCTCTGCCAAAGCGCAATGATAGCCGCCCTGTTTCCGCTGTTTTCTTGTTCGCGCCGTGCTGGGGCGAAGATAGCTCCCTCACTCGGATAGTGCGAATGCTCGGTAGTTGCGCGCTCGATGATCTCGTCATCGAAAAGGCTGGGGCGGGAGGGCCGCGCGATGTCGACGAGCTGCGCGATCCCGTTATGCCGCTGATCGCGGGCCCTCGCCACCTGGGGCGCAAAGAGAGACCCCGCCCCGTCGGGGCCCGTCGAATCGTCGCCCCGCTGCTGCGCGATGAGGCCGTCAGCGCCAGAAGCGCCAAAACAGCGCGGCAAAGCTGCCGGCGATCGGGGCGCGGCGACGGCGTTCGACATCTCCCTGCCCCTCGCGCCGCGCGTGCGCTGCGAGCTCGCGCTCCTTGGGTGGGGCGTGAATCGGCGCGGGAGTCTTCGCTGCGACGCCGAATGACCCTGCTCGCGGAAACGTCATCCTCCTTCGGAGTGCCCCCCGTCGGGCGCAGGGCGTGGAAAAGGGAGTCCAACGCGTAAATGAAGAGGCCGCCGGCCTTCCCGCGGCTCGACGCGCCCCTCGTCGTGCGCGCGAGCGCCATCCTCGCGGGCAGCTCGGGGTCGCGGAGCTCGGGGCAAACGGTCTCGGCCAGGGCGAACGCTGCGCGGCAGTCGTCGTCGTCGTCGACGCAGGCGTGGGCGCTTCTCAAGGCCGCGCGTCGCCGCCTTCCCCTTGAACTGGACGCTCGCGTTTTTCATCGCTGGCAGCAGTTTCGCGCCCGTGTTTCCCCCTGTAATATTTCGCCCGAGCAGCTCAGCCGGCGGGCTCTCTCCGCGAAGTCTCAGCGGGAATCGGCGCCAGAGGCGACGCGAACGTCGACTCTGCGAAACTCAGCGCCGCCGCGCGGCAAACGTCGCCCGCTGGTAGAAGCCGCGTCCTTATCGGGGCAAGCGCGGCGGACTTGAACGGGCGCATCGCGGGGGCCGCTGGCGCGCGCCTGGCCGGCGTGGGCAGCGGCTTCGCTGGGGTTGCGCCGGGCGAGTCGGCCGCCCGGCGCTGCGCCGCATTGCGGTCGACAACCTTTGCGGGGAAGGGCGCGTCGATGGGCGGGTGCCGCGACTGAGGCCTCGAGGACGACGCGCGTTGTGACTCTTCGGGCCGCGCGGGCGCGGCGCCCTCGATCGGGCCGATGGAGGGCTCGTCCGTGTCAGAGACAACGGGTCGAACATGGACGCCGTCCCCGCTGCCTCGCACTGGTTGGTCTGGTTGAGCGACGCTGCCAAGTTGCTGTAATTCATCGTCTCGCGGAATTCTGTCAAGTTTGCGCTAGAGGCAGCTTGGGTGATTCCCAGTGGAGGGATCAATCGGCTGGACTTTGGCATCTGGAGCGAAATTTCGCTCTGCCACTCCGCCAGAGAAGAGAGCGACGCCTGGTCCACCCAAGTCTTCGCATCTAGAATCCAAACCGAAACGTGCGCCGAGAGCGATCCCGCTACTATTCCCATTCGGGCGTTGGCAGAACTGGGTTTAGTGGGACCTGGTTTAATGATGTGTACGGGGGGACACCCTCCCCGCCCGTTCCACTAACCGGAACTGCCGTCACCCGAAAGAACACCAGCCACGGCAGACCTGGTTAAATGATTCTGGCCAATTTAAGATACCCCTGGCCTGGTTATTGGCTGTTCCCTCGAGGGTGACCAGAACTGCTGTGTAGATGCCGGCAGTAATGGGTGATGACGATTATAATGATGACGTGGGTGATGATGATGATGATGATGATGATGATGATGATGATGATGATGATGATGATGATGATGAGGATGAGGATGATGATGATGATGATGATGATGATGATGATGATGATTGTTGTGATGTTGGCGATGCTGATTATGATGATGAGGATGATGATGATATGGTGACGACGGTGATGATGGACAGTATGACGTAATGACGATGGTTATGGCAGTGATACTAAAGATGACGGTGGTGATGACTTAATGATGACGATGATGCCCGACGACATGGCGCTGCGGCGAGGTTTTTTCTCGGGTGGGAAGCTGCTGGCCGTTGAACGGCCAGGGTGGGCCCTCAATGGAGATTCCCTCAAGGGCCTAACATGATCTGAACATGATGGCGATTTGTTGGTGAAGACGATGATGATGACGGTGATGCTGATGGTGATGATGATAATGAAGCTTGGTTTCTGAAAATCCCTGTAAATATTGTGATGGTGATTGATGACGTGCTGATGGTGATGGCGGCGATGGCATGGTCGTGGCGACAATAACGATGGCGACGACGTGGCAATTCCTAACATGATGTACGCCCGTGGTGGATCAGTCAGGGGGAGCAGCGCCAGACGAGCAGCGGCGAGGGCATGCGTAACCACAACCTGCCTGGCCATCAGCACTTCTTGACAGGCCGCTCCTCGTCACGAACCTCGCGGAAACGGCGGCGAGGACCTCCGTCCCTCTCACCACCCTCGCCCACATCTGCTCCCCCTCTGCTTCCTCCTCCTCCTCATCCTACGTTTTGCGGTGAGCGGCCATACAGTGGAGGTCAGTCCACAAACAACTTTGCACAAGAAGCCCAGCCATGAACCCCCAGGATCTCCATGGAATATTGGTGTGGGAACGTCGCCTTCTCCACAACAAAACCATCGACACCCAAGAAATCCAGGGCACCCTGGAGGCAAACAGGGTGTTTCTTGGCATGGGCCCCGCTGTAACCTGTACAGCTATTGGTATCGTGTTGGTGCAGCAAACAAACGCCAACTCGGGCGAAGTGACAAGTGCTGCGGCCGAGCGGCGTGCAGCTGGGACGAGCGTGGCGGTGAGAAACGGAGCAAGTATGGAAGCCCGAAGGGGCGTAGAGGGTGCACGCATCAGGGCGGTGGCAAAGGCGAGTGATCGAACCGAACACGTCCTCCTCCTCCTCTTCTTCTTTTTTTTCTTCTTCTTCTTCTTCTTCTTATTCCTCCTTTTCCTCCTCCTCCTCCTGCTCCTCCTCCTCCTGCTCCTCCTCCTCCTCCTGCTCCTCCTCTTCCTCCTCCTCCTCCTCCTCTCTCGGTCGCTCTGTGTCTCGCCGTACCCCACATTTACACAACATAAATACTACTCTCCTCTCCCCAGAAAGCGCCGGTGATGTGTCCTGGCCTCCTCGAGAACGGCGGATTGTGGAGTCCCTCGCCTTTCGAAGAGTGTTTTCGTATAATCGTTCGTGTTTTGTTCGAACATTCTTCCTCTTCTTCCTTCTCCTCCTTCTCCTCCTCTTCCTCTTTCTTCCCCCTCCACCTCCTCCTCTTCCTCCTTCTCTCTTCTCCTCCTCCTCCTTCCCCCGAAATCCAGCTTTTTGCTTCTCCTGCACCCCCCAAAAAAACGCGGCGCGCGGGGGGGGGGGCTCCTCCTCGTCCTCCTTTGCGCTGCTCCGCTCCCTCCTCCTCCTTTTCCATGCCCCAGCATCTAGCTTTTTGCTTCTCCTGCACCCCTCCCGAACATGGAGGGACAAAAAACGCGGCGCGGCCTCCTTTTTTTGGGGGGGGGGGCATCGCCTCAAAGCAGGGCAACGAGCAGCTCGCCAAGTGGTACTCGCGCGCTCGCGACATCCTGGCGGCCAAGTCCGAGCCGAAGCCCGAGCCCGCCCTCCAGACGCAGGTTAGTCAAGTGCATAGTCGCATCAAATCGCTGGAGAAGAAGTTGGAGAAGGAGCTCATCAGGTTGGACCAGTGGCGTGAAGGCATCGCTCAGCAGCAATCACTATGTGATTCCATCTTCGACGACATCTCGGAGGCCGATGCCAAGTACAAGGAGCTGGTGGCCCAGCTCCACCATGGTGCCCAGGGTCCCCAACCTGTCGGTGCGGCGCCCAAGCCCGCTCCGGGCATCTCTCTCACAGCACTCCTCGAGGCGAGCTCGGTGGACCAGCGGTTGGTCGACGACCTCGTTTCAGACCTCCCCGAGGGCTGCGAGGTCTCTCCGGAGGACAGGGAGCAGATCGCGAAGAGGAAGCAGGAGTTGCAGGATGGTATGTCCAAGATGGCGAAGGAGCTCTTCGGCAGCGCCTACGCCGACTTGCAGAGGATCCGCGACGAGCACGCTGACCATCTCAAGAGGATGGGCAAGAAGCGCCGCACGGGTCAAGATACTTCTGCTGCGGGAGCCGCCCCTGTTGACGGCGGAGGTGGTGGTGGTGATGGTGTCGGCGACGGAGGTGGAGGCGCCGGAGGCTCTGCAGGTGAGGCCCCCGCCGCCGCTTCAGCCAGCAGTGCCGGCAGAGGGGGAGGATCCCCTACCGCCGCCGCTTCGCCTGTCCAAAATGTGCGTGAACGCTATCGCAAGGCTCGGCAGTCCAATCAACCTCCCCCGCCAGCCAGCGGGGGAGGGGAGCCTTAGACAACACGTAATGCCGCATAATAACTTTTTGTCCGGAGGTCGTTCAAGCGATTCCGGAACCCACCCCCTCAGGATCTCTAGGGGTTCGGGGTTTTGCGAAGTAACTTTTGCGCTCCCTTTCAATTTTAGTCATGGTCGAGCTGTTGACTTGCCGAGTGCTGCGCCTGCGGCCCGAGGCACTTCAGCTTGCAGCCTTGACCCCGCCGCCTCTGTTGGTGTTGATCCTCCTCCTCCCGCCTCTGCCTTCAGTGCTGCTTCTTCCGCTCCCGTCTGTGCAGAAGTCTTTAAGTTTTTAGCCGACCTGCCAGTGCCAGTTGGTCTCAGCACCCCCGAGTTAGACTCGCTTTCACTGGTGGTCACCACAGTCAACTGCAACAGTTTCGGGACCTTCAAGGACTGGATACCGAAGTGCGTCTCTTCCCATGTCATCCCTCTGCCAGAGCACCATTTGCAGCAAGACGATGCAATTCAAAATGCGGTGCGACACTGTCGGGGTGCCGGTTGGAAATCTATTTGGGAGCCTGCTACTCGTAAGCCCGAGGGGGGCACGTCGGGTGGTGTGGCCGTTTTGGCAAGAGATTTCTTGGGCTTACACCCTCCCGGTGGAGGGTCTCAGAATGTGTCGGGCCGTGCACTTGGTGCAACCTTTCATCTTCCAGGTGGTCCTTCTTCCACCGCTGTCTCTCTTTCTGGATATGACTCGGAGGGCATGCCAGCCCGCCAGATCGACCTTCTCAAGGAGGTCGGCGCCTTCCTCTCGCTGCAGGGCGGCCCGTGCATCGTAGGTGGCGATTTCAACTTGGACCCAGAGCAGGTCCTCGATTCTGGATTGGTTGAAAACCTTCGGGGTGAACTGGTTTCCACTGGTACTCCGACTTGTTTCGGGACGACTCAGAACATTCGAGACTTCTTTGTCGTATCTGGGGGCCTTGCCCAAGGAGTTGCCAAGGTCTTCGAATGCCCCAATGGTTACTTCAGCCCCCACATGGCGATTTCGCTCGAGTTTCATCCTCAGCTTTGCCGCCTCCAAGCTCTGGGGTTCAAGAAGCCTCCGACGTTTCCTGTGGTTGCCCTTCCTGGACCCGTTCCTCGCCCACAGGATTTCAGTAAAAGTGCGAAGCTGCTCGACCTCTGTGAGGGCGCTCTGACTGCTCGCGATGGTCCCAGACTTGATCGTCTCCTGCACTGTGCATACAAGCAGTGGGCCAATCGATCAGAGGAGGAGCTGGAGGCTGTTTTGGCACCGTGCTCCCGTACAGAGGTGCCAGGGGCAAGAACCCAGAGGTGGTGTGGCGATCGATTCTAAGCAAGGACACCAAGCAAAATCGATATCCTCAATTGCTTGCTCTTCGCTGGTTAGCTGCTCGTTTCAACGCTGTCGTCTTCATTTCCAGGTCAATTGCTTCCGGCAGGGCGGTGGATCCAGCTGAAGTACACCTTGGCCGCGCTCTGGTCGCAGCCATTCGTGACACGTCTGATTGGATTCGTTCTCGTCTTGGTGATCTTCAGCCTCATCTTGGGATCATCCAGGGGGCTCTCGGAGGCTGGTCTGAGCAGGCTATTGTTCCTGAGTATCTGGAGGACTTGGACGGCCTGTACTCCTCTCAGCAAGATCTCCTGGACAGCTGCATTGCTACGCAGGCCAAGATTGCAAAGCAGGAGTGGCATTCTTGGTTGACGGAAAGGATTAACCAGGGTACCAAAAACGCCCATTCGGCTATCAAAGACCCCCTCTCGTGGACCCCTTCCACCACCTTTTCCTCGGAGGGGGTGGTGGTTTCTGATCCTCTGAGTCTCTTGCAGCAGGAATATATTCGCTTCAGTTCTCTGTGGAAAATGCGGTCTTCGGAGCCGCGCGTTAGGATCTATGAAGCTCCTGCTCTTCCTCCTCTGGCGGTGGATGACCTCAGGGCCCTGAGCAGATCGTACCGGGAACGGTCTGCGATTTCAGTGGACGGCTTTCACGTCCGTCATTACCAGTATCTGAGCGATGACAGCTTGGCCATTCTCCTTCGGATTTTCAGCATCATGGAAAGGTCGGGAATCTTACCTTCGCAATTGCGACATGTTCTCATCGCGCTCCTGAACAAAGCAGTAGGAGGTTATCGACCGATCGGTGTGTTCCCTTCCCCGTACAGGATATGGGGTAAAGCCAGGAGGCCTCTTTGTGACCAATGGGAAACTGAAAATGCCAGGGGGTACTTTTCCGCTGGAAAACACCGAGGGGCCTTGGACACGGTTTGGAGGCAAAGCTTCAGGTCTGAATCGGGAGTTCGGTCTGGACGTTACTCTTGTTCCCTCCTTTGGGACGTGTTCAAATATTATGAAGAGATTTGTCTCGAGGCCCTCCGGCTACGCGGCATTGTCACAACTTTCCTTTGACTCTGATCAACGTGTGTATTGCGGGCTACATGGCGGCTCGGTTCATGTCCCTGGCAAGCATTGTTGCTGGGCCCCACTTCGCTTCCTGCGGGGTGATAGCCGGCTGTCCAGCCGCCACGACCTTGATCCGAGTCCATTCGCTCGACGCATTCGACACTATTCCCCGAAGCTTGAATGGGGTAGATGATGCCACATTACATTTGTGCGAGGAAGAGGTTTCACTCGACAAGTACCGTAGTTTCGACGCTTATATCGATGATGCGAACGTTTCGGCGATAGGGGGATGGAGGTTTGTTATCGGCTCGATTCTTCTCATGGCGTCTTTGTTGTACCATGCCGTCTACGTGATGATGGGCAACCACATTTCCTTGGACAAGGCAACCCTTATTTGCTCCTGCCCTGTCCTCGGCAAGGCTATCGAAGACCGTTTGGGTGACCTGAGTGGAGGCTGGAGGCCGTCGGCGGTTAACCTGGGAGTGGACGATGCGGCAGGAACGGCTTTCAGGTCGGGGAAGGGAAGGTCGAAACTTGCCAAGAAGGCCCTTCGCCATGCTCACCTGAAGCGCAAAACCCGTCGCCTCAAAATTCTCCGAGAACATTTTGGTCGCCAAACTTTGAAGGTTTTCGTTTCCGGGCCGCTCCTGGCTTACACGTACGGGACGGAGG